AGAAATATAACAGGATTGCCTCAATTTCCTATCAGTGATAGTCACACTTTCTTGGATCCATTCTTCTCACTATCCTCCAAACGGTATGGATGTTTAGCCAGGTTAGACCCTTGATAAGAATTCTAACTCTCTTCTGTTGTGCATCACACCCACTACTTCATGTGAACCTTCTATTCAATCCTTCCAAATGCTCTGTGAAGTGAGAATTACATTGTGACAGATGAGGAAACTGAGGCTCAGAGAGGTCAAGCAATTTTCCAAGATTATTTAGAGAACAGCAGATGCAAGATTCAGACCAAGTATTGTGTGTGCACAGCCTCCATTCTTAACCACTAATCCAAAACTAAGACATCATGATTTCTTTTTATGTAAGAACACAGTCCTTTTTCCAAACAATACTTTCTTGAATACACTCAGCTTCTTTTCTGATTAGAAGTTCTCTGCACTTTAACCCTTGAACTGTGAAATCTGATATATGGATTTGTTTGGGTTAAGAAAGATCCAACCTTCAAAAAGCAGAAAAATCTCAGGGATAGCTTTTTTTCCCCCCCTAATTACATTGATGGTTTGCAAATCCATGTTCCTCCTTTAATCACCAATGCCATTAGAAAATGAAAATTGATAGCCTCCCTCTATCCAAACAGAAATTCTGAGAACAGCCACGAGGGAGTGAGTCAGGGCTTTTGCTCTTCAGTGACAAGTGTTGCTGGAGAAGATAATTACTTTGCTACTGGCAGAACTTCTGCTTCACTTCAGTGATCGATTGCTAGTGTTTTCAAGAGCAAAAAACCAAAAGAGTCAATGTCATGGCTAAAAGGTAGCGTAAAATGAAGCTATGCTGCATAAATTGACTGGGGATTCTAAAATTAGGCTCCAAAACTAGGAACATGGTTAAAATTATTTCTTACCATGGTAATCTTACAGAGGTGATCACACACAGAATATGATAATGGGAGCAATATTTTGGAGATAGCATAAGTAAAAAAAAAATTATGCTATACCTTCCCTGTAAAAAGGAAATAGATATTCTAATGAAAAAAAAATTTAAAAACCTGACACAAAAACTGACTACTGGTATTTGAAGAAGGGGTGTTTATGACTAATAGTATTTTTTAAAGTTTTCCTAGTCTGATTAATACACATTCTACCCTCTCCAGAGCTTCTGGAGTCTATAATTTGTTATTGTAAACAAATAGATGGCCATTGATACCAAACTTATGAATTCTTGAAATATTTCTGGGTTGGTAATATGACTTACAGTTTTTTTTTGTTTCATATTTCAAAGCATTACATTAACTAAAGTTTAGGTTAGGAAGGAAAAGTCTTGCTGGTATTGTCTTCTTTAGAGAACAGCTTTATAAAACAGAAATCATATTTGTCTTCATCTTCTGCTGCTTTTTAATTCTTTGAGAAAATCTATTGGCTTTCTGCCTTAGGACCTTTGCATATACTACTGCAGATAAGGAACTATCCCAAAGTACTCCTGCCCACTCTTAAATATTCATGTTCAGTGTCTTCTAATTTTGGTAGATCCCAGTATAATATCTCCTCTTCAGAGAGGTCTACTATGTCTATTTGGTCTAAAGTAGGTTCCCTTCTTTTATAATTTCTCATTGTATTCTACACTTGCTTTTTGCAATTCTTGTAACAATTTTTATTGCATCTTATTTCTGTACTGTATGTTTTCTATCTACCCGTAAAGCAAGGATCATGTCTATTGTATTCACCTACATAGACTAGACTTGGCAACTGTTTGACATTTGGTAGGTATTTGACAACATTTTTAAATGAGTAAATGCAAGAATCCACCTGAAGGAAGAAAGGGAAATTCTTAGTGATGGGAGTAAACAAAGCTGGCAAAGGGATTAAAATGTAAAGAACATCGATGCTGTGAAAAGGTGACAAAACCAATAGTGAAAAGCAACTATGACACTGGGTGACTGGGAACACATTTTTATTTTAAGAGAGAGAGAAGAGAGAGAGAGAGAGAGAGAGAGAGAGAGAGAGAGAGAGAGAATTTTTAATATTTCTTTTTTAGTTCTCGTCGGACACAACATCTTTGTTGGTATGTGGTGCTGAGGATCAAACCCGGGCCGCACGCATGCCAGGTGAGCGTGCTACCGCTTGAGCCACATCCCCAGCCCTGGGAACACATTTTAAACAGAACAAGGATGGAGAGTGTTGAGAATAGTCCTGATGTCATATATTGGACGTGATGAGAAATTTGTTTATTTCATGAATTGATAATATTCTAAAGAAGTCTATATGCATTTGAAATATAACAAGTTAACTAAAGCTAGTTTGTTTAAGCATTATATCACCAATGGAACGTGTGGGCTGTAATTTTGTTATATTTACTGTACTGTCTTGTTATGTTTTATCCTTGAGTGGTGATCAGTAGATATTTGTGGAATACTCATTGCTTGAATGAATGAAAAATTGCAAAAACAAGAACAGCTTAATTTTATTTTAGCTTAAGATAAGTGTGTGAATTATAATCGTTAAGGGTATGTTATGTATCAGGCATGTAGTTTTTAGCTAATGTTTCCTTGTACTTTTGGCAGGATATTTTTTAGTCTACTGGACTTTCAGTTTATTCTTAGAAAGGAGATAATGCAAAGGAGTATCATCATTTAAAATATGTAATCATATACACACATACACACATACACATACACTTTTCACATATGTATTTAAAATATCCTAAATTTCTAGTGACTCCAACAAATTGTTTCTATCCTGCAAATATGTCTTTAAACTAAGATCTTATATAGTCTTTGTTTGGTTCTAATCAGGCTAAAAAAGTTATTTTCAGTTGGAATACACGTAGTTATGTGCACAATATGACAGACACATTGAGTGACTATAATTGAGTGATGATATGTTCCAGATATTTTGCAAGAAACTTTCTGCGGTAGATGTTGCTATCTTTCCATGTGAAAATTCCCAAGAAGGCATTTGAACCTAAGTTCCTTTGAGTCCAAAACATTACTCATGCTATCACACACTGTCTCCAATTCAAAGCACTAAGAATAAAAAGCTCAGCAGATTAAAGGGAGAGCTTGGGACAAAAAATTAATTGAAACACAGAATTTTGATTTTTTTTTCATTATTAGGCTAATAGGCATGCCCTCCCCAGTTGCTACTGTATTCTGAAAGATCTGGAGATGTGTACATAAAATGGCTTTTTTTTCTCTTTTACAAGAGAATTAGTACTTCTTGTAAATACAATGGGTATATGCTAGATAACTATTTCCTATTGTGACAAGGAAAAAATAATGCAATTTTATGCCTAAATGTTCAGATTTCTCAGAATACATTGTAGGGGGTGGGGAAAGCATGCATATCAATCTAATTAAATTAAATTCATGCTTTCAGAAATAGCATATAGGAAAGGTCTCAATATATAATGTTGAAAGATAAAGCCAGATATTAAATAAATGTAGATTGTATATATGAGAGCATTTTAATCAGATTCAATTGTGATCACTGCTCTAACAGACACACCCTAAATTTCAATATCCATTGCTTAACACAATAAAGGCTGATTTTCTTTCTTTCTTTTTTTTTTTTTTTGCTCAAGACATAATCACATGCAGAGTGGTAGTGTTTATGAGTTTCTTTGTGACTCTGACAAGCTCAGTATGTGGTTTCAATGGTTCTCTGAGGTCATAGGACGAAAATATGGGAAAGGAAGAGAAACAGTACCAGTAGGACTCTCCCTATCTTAACTGCTTTGGTCCATAAATGACACTTCACTTTTGTTCATATCTCATAGACAAAAGCTAGGCACTGGTTCCCTCTCCTTAAATGCAAGAGGCTGAGCTATGCAGTTCTGTAAGCATCAGGAGCATGTCTGTCACTCACACTGGAAGAAAATACACAAAATTATCAATATCTCTAGTGAGGTATTCATGATTTTCATTTTCAACTTTGTGCTATAGAGTATTTTCTAAGAATATAAAATTCGCAATTAGATCAAAACTACAAATATTAAAATTGGCAGTGCTATGGGCGTGTTGGCTGCTGATCCTTTCATACCAGCTGCAGATGGCTTGGCGCCCTCACTGTGTAACACATTTCAATGTGCCTTTATAACTTAAGAGATTCAACAAAGTGATAAGAACATACACTGAGCCTGGCCCCTTCTCTTCTCTATGCATGGATGGTTTGGAGGTAGTATCTATCATTGCCGATCACTTGGATTGCTTTGGCTGATCTGGCTGGCTTGGGGGATTTTCCATTCTTCCCTTACTGCTCCATGTTTTTTTTTTTTTCCAAAAGCTTCCCTCTAGCAGAGAACAACACTTTCAACTAGCAGAAGTAGAAGCACGACTAACCCAAATTTATCTCTTTTCACAGCCTATTATAAAGATTTCTTGAGCAAAATGGAAATATAGTTTGAAAATTCATCTTATACACTGGTTATTTAATAAGCATTAATATCGCTAGCTCTATGCAATCATGGAACAGATTCACTGCCCTTCTCAAAGATCACCTGCTGAAAGTGAAAAAAGAAATTAGCATTGGGAGAAGATGATGACACCTCCTATTCCACACCTTGGATTCCACTTTTTATCTCTGACTTTTACTCTTTGGACATTAAGCTTTAGAATTTTTTCTGCTGCTAAGATTTTTTTTTCAACACTTACCATGGGCTTCAAAGTTTGTCCTTCATTTCCTTTCCTTAAATTTACTTTCTGTTTTATTGCATGCCACTTCCTTGCACTTGTCCTGTTAAGGAGTCCACGATGGTCATTTAATATTTAAAGGCCAGGATCATTTTGCAGGTTTTAGTTTAAAGGTAACCATAGCACACACACACACACACATTTATTATTAAGAGCAGAGATGGCCCTGTATGTTCTTGGGACTCTTCTTTCCTTTCAGTATTAGTTTTGTAGGAGTGCTGCTATCACTAGGTTTCAGCTCTGACATTGCTGTGGCAATGAACTAGTGCATTAACAATGGGTTCAAAATGATGAAAACTGTTCCTGCGGGTGGAGGAGACCATGCTGAAAAGGGAGATGAAGCCAGAAAGTGACAGGCCACGGAGAGTCCGGTTTCGGATCGCATCATCTCACAGTGGACGAGTTCTGAAGGAGGTTTATGATGATGGGCAACCATCCGGCTCTCTGGATTCTGAATGTGCCAGTATTTGTGGGATAGATGGACTAAGTGATTCTGATGGACAGCAAAATGGCCACATTGGATCGGAAGGCGACGATCAAGAGAATGATCAGGATAACTTGCTGGTGCTGGCAAGGGCTGCCAGTGAGAAGGGTTTTGGTACAAGAAGAGTCAACATTTTAAGCAAAAATGGCACAGTGAGAGGCGTCAAATACAAAGTGAGTGCTGGCCAAGCTCTATTTAACAATTTGACCAAAGTATTACAGGTAAGTCATGACACTTTCCTCCTCCTGAGCTTTGTTCCCAACTGGCCCTCTGAACACCTCTCAGCTCTGCAGTTTAAAGCAAGCCTCTCTTATTCATGACTCCTCCATATTTCAGAGACACTCCCCATGTAAGACATTGTCTCAACAGCCACTGATTAAAAACAGGGTCGTTATTCTTGGCAAACCAGACTGACTTCTCAAAGCCATGTTTCTAACATGTATATGAGCTTTTCTTCCAGTGTAAGGACTAAAACTGCATCTCTACTTCTCAGGCAAGAAAGGAGACAGACTCTAGTGTTCAAAACATTTCATAAAGCTTAGAAATTGATTTCTTTCTGGTTTATTATTCTTAAATCATCAGGGTACCATTTGCTATCACCTGTGATGAAAATGTTGAATGTTTGCATTCAGGGGATTGGATTCAGTTGGAATATCACAAAGATGCAAAGACTGTGACTTCTTCCCGTTCCAGAGGAAATTGCAGGTTTTATCTGAGGTCCAATTCTTTGTTATTTGCCTATCATAACTCTGGAGCAGCATTTGAAAATTCTATTTCTATATGAGTGTACAGACTAAAATCCTGACTTTATAGCCAAAAAATGGTCCTTAAAATGTGGCTCACCCCTCCAACTAATATAGGGATGTATCATTCAGATCCTAACATCATTGAAAATGATCTAATGACAAGTGCTTTAAATTTCCTGGGAGTACTGGAAAAATATTTTTTCTTAATAACAGACATAATTATTTTAGCAATGGAATTTATAATAACTAACATTAAGGTAGCAAACCAATAATCTTCATTGCAATTCTGTATTATATGATTCTCAGTATTTGAATGAAACAATCTCTTGTGATAAATTATTCAATGCCTCTACATTATAGAGATGCAGGAGTGGTTGGGGGAAAGAATTTCAATAAAAGATACTCATAGATGTTTTATTTCAAAGGAAGTATTTGAAAAGATCAAATCATCAAGATTTAAAAGCAAATTTAAGTTTTAATCAAAGGAAAAAAGCAGTTAAGACTAAAGGGTTTTTTTTTTAATAAAACTTACCCATGAAGGATTTTATAGAAGGGGTAGGTATGGGGACAACAATCAGAAACTTATGACTCTTTTATTAGGTTGGGGATGATCTTATAGAGACTTCTAGACATGTGATTGTTAAGAGAATCTCAGTGGAATGAGCTTCACCTATAGTAAAAATTGTTACTGTCAATGTGTAAAATAGGAATCTTTGTACAATTGAGTTTAAAAATGTTTGCATTCATTGCAATTAATTTAGTTCTTTATTATTTGAGTTGCTTTATGATTTGGAGGGTTGTTTATAAAACTGTTTTACCACTTTTAGTGCTTTGATTTGAATTTGTGTATTCAACTCTCCCCCCCAAATTATGATTTGTGAATAAATATCTTAAGTCTTCAAAACCTGCAACAGAAAAAAAAAAACCCTAATCTTCTCCCTATGCATTTACCTCGACAGTGCTATAAATTCACAAATAAGAAATGAAGGAAATTTTGAAGTCAAATTCTAATATTAGATTAGAGTATTACACATTTTCTATTCATAATTCTGTCACCATTTTATGAGAACAAATCCATTGAAACTTTTTCTAAGAATTTAACATAATTCCACTTACCCATGGCTTTAAAAGGGTAGCAATGGTTACATGCAGAGGTCCCTCAAAGTCTTTGATATTTGACCAGTTTTTTTCTTATATGTGATCTTTCTTTCTTAATAATGTGGGTAAATCAGCCAGCATGTTATAGGTAATCACAGATTTTGGTTATTGTCTTTACTTTCATCACCCACCACTACCACTACCACCACCACCATCATCAAGTGAATGTTCTCTGACCTCTCTAGGACAAAAATAAATTAATTGGGGGTTGCCAGTGGCATTATTCGAAGGGCTCCATTCAGATAATTGTCTGTGTGAACAGCATGCTTTGACTTGTACGATATAACCTACACAATTATGTAGAGAGCCAATTTGAATGTTTGCCACTTGTTAAGGGATGTACATGTAATAAGGGGCTAATCCTTGTCCTAGGCATTTATCTTAGGATGACTTGAGTAGTTTTCCACAGACATCTTATTATGCAGCAGTAATAGCAGAAGCTACCATTCAATTATTCCCATACACGCTACCAGTTACAACTCTTTCTTTGGATCTCTTTATATTTTCCATATCCCTTGCAAAATAAGCACCAAACTTGACCTCATGTAACTGTAACTTAACAGTTTCCCTCCAGGAAGAAAATGTGAGCAGTTGATATCTTGGATGTCTGGTTAGGGATTCAATGGATGGCTAATTTTATTGAAAAGGAACTGTGATTGATAAAAGAGTCAGACTTTTCTTCCGTTTTTAAGGTATAATGTCTTAAAGCACTCCACTAGAAACTTGAGAGGAAACAACATAAACAAAATCTTTCAAAGACCCTGAAAGTCACTTTTCTTCCTTGCTGTTAGTTTCCCACTCTGCAATTCCTATTTCATAAAATACTGGCATGTGCCTTGCAAAAAAATTCAACTGTGCAGACAATAATCATCAAAATGATTTGTTTTAAAAATGTTTTTACTTTTTATCAGTACTTATTTATAAAACTGTATATAAAAAGGATATCAGAGCTAATTTCTGTTTTGTCAGTTAATTTACCCTATAGAATCTTGAGTAAGTGAGGATGCACAATATTAGTTGAGGTCATTAAGGGTAGCAATGGAACCAGGAGGCAAACAGAATGGTCACCTGACTGCTCAAGTGAAATTTGTGGAGGGCAGTTTGTTGGTGAGTCACTCAGGGCTTCCAGCTTGTCTTGATTATAACTCTTCAGATGTGGTTGAATTTTCCATTTCTCCCAGAGATATCATGAATACAAAGCCCAGGAAAGGCTAATTTGGAAATATGAAAACCTAGAATCTATTTGTGATCTGGAAATATGCATTTATTAGAAACTTTTTAGGTTGTTCTTATATAGACTACAGTTTGAAAATTATTGATCTAAAGCATAAAAGGAAAATCCAGCCAGTTTTCTAGAGTAAAACAAAAATTACTAAATATTCCTTATGTCTTTAATTTTTAATAAGGAAAATGAAGAAGATATGTATTGATCTGATTTGTTCTTTGGATCAGGTTAGATCACTAGAAGAACTTTTTCTGAGCCAAAGATAACAGTCATGTTTCCTATTAATATTTTATCAATTAGTTGATTTGGGAACAGGTCCAGAAATTATACCAGTAGACTCCAATATAAGTTCTGTGTTTTAGTACTTTTGAAGAAATTTTACTCTTAGGATGTTTCTATCTGGATAGATTTTACACTTGATTACCAGAAAATTTTAGAAAAAAAGTTATTTTCTCCTTAAAATCAGCCTCTTGTTACCTCATGCAAAACAAATTAGAAAACCATTGTATAGTTCATAGATCTCATTACCCAGTTTGCGTGATTGAATGTGAGATGCACCTTGCTCTTAGATTCCTAATATTTCTTAGGGTGGCTCAATGATGCAGATAATTAAGGTCATTTATTTTTGTTATATTATTTTTATAGGATTAAATTTTGAGTAGTAATCTTTTCTTGACCTTATCATTAAACTATATGGGTAGTCTGTTAGAATCTTCTACTATAATTTCCACAATTTTAGTTTTCTCACTTCCAAATTTAAAATTACTGTATTAGAGAAAAATAAATTCAAAGAAGGAAAATAATTATAATGCATACTCTATTTTTTGCAGGTCCTTTCTAGGACTTAGACATACAGCTTCTGTCTGTGCATATACATGCTTATGTCTGGTTAGTGTAGTTGCATGTATAAGAATTCTTTCAAGATAAATAAAATTAAAATAATAACATGTTTGCCAAACAATTTGCATTTTGCATGGGTTTTCACATACATTATTTTGTGAAATAAGCAGCAAAATTATTATAATGCCCATTTTTTGATAACTATCAGAAATAAAAGCTACTAATTCAAGAACTCTAATTTTGGATTCTTTGACAGTTTAAAAAACATAACAAATGCAAAATGTCTCACATTTGCTGTTTTAAATGTTATCATGACAAATATGAATATTTATCTGACTACATCATATTATGATAAAATCTGGTATTCCTAAACTACAACATTTGGTTGGCATGTTTTAAAATATATCATTTGTTTCACATTTGATCTTCATCTGGCAAAGTTTTTTCAGAAGATATACAAGCTTCTATTCACTTTTAAATAGTATTTAAAAAAATTATCAGAAGCCATTATTTCTCTTCATTATTTTGTTAGATCCTCATGAGGTTAGTTGGCACTGGAAGAGGATGAGTTGGTTACTTAAAGCAGGACTGTTGCTCAATCTTGTCCACTGACTCAGCATAGATGATATTAACAGAAGTTTCTGGCAGTATTTCTTATCCATCTCTAATTCACCAAAGCTAGCTCTGGTAATTGAATAATATTCCAGTGAGAAGAAGGTGGCTCTTTGCATCACTCTATAAAAACAACAACAATAATTAAGTCTCAACTAGGTACTTCCTGGATGCCAGGCACTGTTCACATTATTATGTGCATTGATCCATTTATTCCTCACAGCAACCAAGAGGTAGTATTATTATTAATAAATTATTTATAATTTGAACGTCTTCTCTGTGTAAATATTAAGTTGTATAATTTCAAATATCATTTACCAGAGAAATTCTTAGGTGATTTTTTTTTGTCAAAATGAAAAGGTTGTCTTTTGAGCTTTCAGTAACTCTAAAATTTTTGGTACAATTAGAAATGGCCCAAAAAGTCACACTAATAAATCAGGTGACTTGTTATCCAAAAATTAGGAAAGAAAGAATGCCAAAGACATGTTTACACTACTAATAAATTATTTATACCAAAAAAGAATTATTAACTGACAGACCTTAAGAGTCCTGTGATCCTCTTCCATATATCAGCCTTTTGCAACTTTTGGTCACAGCATTAATCATGGATGCTGAGTAGGATATAAGCAAATGTCTTTGT